AACTATATTATATAATCACTAATTTTAAAGAATTATTTTTTTAAAGAAAGTTATATTAAAATCGTACCGGCGCGATGCAAACTGAGTTCTAAATTAATAAAATAAAAATCTATTTAAATAACCGCTGTATAGTAAGAAAAACGCTATTTTTGTATAACTACTAATAATTTTTAGAAATAGATTTAATAAATAATATTTAATAAAATATAGAAAAGATATAAAACAGATTACTGCCTCTATTACAGATAAGACGGATATTTTATTTATTAATATTTTTTAAAATCTACTATATAATTGTAAAGGAAAAAGAGGTCAGTTAGGTATAGAATAGTAGCAGTCCATTGATTTTAAGACTAATCCTTGCTATCCTAAAGATCTAGTAAGGTTCTAGAAGTTAAATACTGAAGAAGATCTGAATCATTAATATTATAACTATTACACAGAGAATGTATAGATAGATTGTTAATAATCTGCTATAATTATAAGAGTTATTTATAATAATTAGGCTTTCTTTTATATACAGCTGTTTTTAGCAGTATAATAGTAGTATAGTACTACTGTTTCAGTGCGGAAGCTAACTGTTTTTGGAAGTATGATAGCAGATAATAGAAAGTCGCAGACTAGTCCCGTTGGGAATATATATTATAAATAATACTATTCTGTTTTAGAAATACTGTGGTTTTTTAATAATAATATTAATAATACAGATATGCTTCTATACATCTTTCTTAATATTCTTAATATTATTAGTATTATTTATTTTATATCGAAAAGCTTGTAGTTTTCTGTCGTTTCTGTATCTGTTCGTTCGTTTTAATATATATATATAGTATTTCTATTCTATTATTTTTTTTGGCATTGCTAAGACGCTAATATATTACTGCAGTCTTATTAATAAATTATAATATCTGTACTGTTAATCTTCTGTTTTCTTATAGAGATCTCTTTCTGTTTTAAGATTATATTCTGCTTTAAGTATTTAAAAACTTTAATAAAGAATTATAAGCAGGACTTAGAAGAAGAATTCAAGCCAAGCTGTATCTTTAATACAGTTTTGTTTATTAAATATTACTAATATACAGTATAAAAGGCTAATTACCTGCCTGTAAGTAATTCTATTTTTTTTAATTTATTTTTAAAATATATTTAAATGTCGGATAGACGGCTACGGGGATGTTAGAGAACGCCAGTAACTTTACTGAGATTTTATATTAAACAGCCGGATTTTAGAATACTGATTTTAAAAAGATTTAAATCTTCTATTTTTATTATTCTTTCAGCAACTTAATCTGTGGGCTTGCAGTTAAATTTACTGATATAGAAAAGATATATCGGATTAAATATTATATATTAGTAACTATAAAAAAGATAATAATATTAAATAGCTTTCTTAATTTAATAAAAATATACTAATAATCTAATAAAAATACACCACAGAATACTGTGGCTTTATTATAGAGCGCCGCGCGTTGGCTGCCTGTACTAATAAGAACTATAAATATCTACATCTTTTATCCAGCGATGTAAGATATATACTTTAAAAACTTACTATTTCAACTTTTTTAAATAATATTATTTAGAAAATAATCCGTATGCTGTCGGATGGCTAGGGGTCTGAACAAGCTGCTATTTAAAATATTCTAAAATTATTCTCTATTAAAGTTATTTATAGTTTGTAGTTTTTTCAGCAGTTTAAGATTGTTTAGCTCCTACTCTAATATTTTTATAATAGTATTTTATTATATTTAGATCTGTCGAATGCATGTAATTTGGATTTTCTTTAAGATTATTTTTCTTATAATTTATATATATAGTTATAAACAAAACGAGTGTGCAACGCAACAGATTTGTATTTTTTTTATTATAAATTGCGTATATATCGTATACGCTTTGTAGTTGTTTTATTATTATTTCTACTGTATATTAATCTTAATTTATATTATATAGAATAGAAAGATGCAATCTAATTATTAAATTTGTAAATTTTTTATTAAATATTTAATAAATTCTCCGCCGATAACTATTAATTATATTCAGAGGACTATTTTTACTATTTTATTAAATAGAACTAATCTTTTTAATAATATAGATAGTCTAGTATCTGCTCTACCTTCTATTCTTTGTTATTATCTAAATCTGGTATTAATAATATTTCAGGACCGTTTCTTTTAGATTTTTAAGATTTTAGTAAAAAGATATAAAAAATATTATACAATCAAATATACTTTTTAAAAAGATATAAATAAAATACTTGTTTTTCTACAGCTTCTAAAACTCTAAAAGGCCCCACAAATTTTAGAACTAATTTTCGAGGGGTTTTCTTAAATTTAATATTTATAGTAGATAGCTTAATTAAATCTTTTTTTTTAAAAATATAAATTATTTTATTATCTCGCTTAAAAAAATAGAGTGCCGCGACGGCTATTATAGTAAATCAATTGGTTTTTACTTATTTTTTATTAGATTTTTTTTAATTTTTTTTTATAAAATATTCAGCTTCTTTAATCTTTTTAATATTAATAGTATTTCTACTTTTATAGGATCGTCTTCAATTCGGAGTCTAAACTTAAAAGAATAATTTATTAAGACTTCGAAAGAAATTATTTTTATAGAGATATTCAGATAACTATTATATATAAATTCTATCTTATTTAATAAATTTATCCAGTAGTTTTGAAATTCAGTTATAAAACAGTATAAATAATATTCAAAGACTTAGTTAGCTTTTTTCGTTTAACTATTGATTTGCGGGTGAAACGCAGTCAATAATTATTTTTTAATTTTAATTTAGTAGTAAAGATTAGACTAAAATTAACTTATAAATATAGAGCCTCTATCTATAATTATATTATAAAAAACTTTATATTTAAATTTAATTTTTTAATAAAATAATTCGGCTAGTTCTTCTACTTAAATTATATATAATACCAGTATAAAACGGTTTATTTTCGTAAAATAATTAATAATTACTAATATAAAATCTATCTAATAATTCTAGTAGTATAGTTTAGATAGTTCTATAATAAAATTTATAGTAATTTTAATTTATAGTTTTAATAGAATTAGTAGGCTTTCAAACCTTCTATATAATTAATACTTAGATGCGGTTTAATATTAGTATATAAAATAAATTATAATATAATTTTCTATATTATTTTAAAAACCAATCCAGTAGAATTTTCTGTAAAAAAAGTTATTTTATTCTATTTTATTTAAAATAATCTGCTAACAGATTATTATAGTATTGCTGCAGTAATTCTTAATATAGGTCTTTTATTTTTAATATATAAAGTTTATTTTTAAAATATAGTAATCTATCTATTATAAATCTTTAATTTTTAGATAGTTTATTTTTTCTTTTCTAAGACTCAGAATCTTAACTTTAAAGAGTTTTAATCAAGTTTTTTAAATTATTATTATAATTAGATTTATAAATCTTTTTAGTTTTACTTATTCTTTTTATAGCTGCAATACTGGCGGATTTCTTACAGTTTATTATATAAACTACAGTCTAATCAGCCGATTCCGTATCTGCAGTGTCTGTAGATCTGCTTAATACTATATAAATACTAAGTTCAGATCTCTTCTATAAAGATATTTTACTATATTTAAACTGAAATTTATTAATTTCAGATACTGCTAAAATAAGTACTAACCGGTTATAGAACACCTGCATAATATTATCGTTATAAAAACTCTTTACTGATTTAAATAATCTAAACAGAATATCAGCAGGATTATTCTTATCTGATTGATATTTAATTATAAAATTAAAAGAAGCCAAAATCATATATCAATATATTTAATATTTATTAAGCCGGGGTTAATTTATAAATAATCTAAGATTTATATAAATAGATAGAACTTTAATAAAATACTAAGTTCTATTAAAGTATTAATACTAATATTTAAAAAAGTAGATAATAGCGAAAAGTTCTTAATTCAGAATTCTCTAATTAAATTCTACACCCGAGAACTTTCTTAACTAAAATAGTAATTATATAATATTATTTTATTAGTTCAGATTAGATTAAAATATCTGCTATTTCTTTACTACAGGCGTCGGTTTCGATTCAAATAGATTAAATTAAATTAAAATAATAAAAAAGAAAAGCGGTTTAAAATATATTAATAAACCGGCGAAACACTAGTCTTTCATTCAGAAATAAATAATATATTTCAGACTTTTTACTATTTTAATTTTTTTTCAGAAGATTTGTTAAAGGTAGTGCTAATAAAGAAAAATTATAAATAAATCTACAGTAAAAATTATAAAATTCTAAAAAGATTTAAATCTTATAATAGATGACAGATAACAGCTATAAAATAATAGTTTTAATTCAGTTAGAATTTATTATAACGCCTGTACATAAAATAATATATCTAAAAAATTTAACTTATTATTAAAAAAAAAGTATTTAAATAATTTAATATATAGATTAGTTTGTTGTAGTCGTATCAGTACTTTCTTAATATACTTAATATATTTATATCTTATTATTAAAAAAATAAAAATATTATTTAAATATATAATATAAATAATATCGAGAATATTATACAATACAGAATATATATAATTTAAAAAAAAAGCAGATGCATTGGTTAAGCTAAACAGTATTACTATATATTTAAAGTAACTGTAATATATATAAAACACAGTTTTCTATTCGTCTTCTTTTTTAATATAAATTTAATAATAAGTATTTTAAATATTAATTTTACTGAAGTATTTATATCCGGCAAGATAATCTAAAATCTCAGAAATTAAAAATAACAGATATTAATTCTTTATTATAATTTTATTAAATCTACAGTAATCCATACATAATTGCAGACTTCTATCTTTTTTTAAATACAAAAAGAATAGAAGTCCCTGCAGGGCTATTAAATAAATATATTCTTCTATTTACAGTATTTTTATTAATATAATTTTTTAAGTACTGAAAGTTCTCTTTTTAAAAAAAGATAGATGGGCCTAAACAGAAATAATTCGCCTTTAAAAAAATCGATAATATAATTCTTATTATAATACTCTGAAAGTACTTTAGATTAATTAGATAAAAAAATATCAGTAAATTCGACTAACTTTAATAAAATAGAACTATTTTAATAATATTCTGATAGTTTATTATCTCCGGAAAGCCATAGTTCCTCTGGCGCTTTAATAATAGCATAAATATAAGCATAATTTCAGTAAGCTTTAATAAACTTCCGAGGATTCAATTTATAAATTTTATTAAATTCAAACCACCATTGCTTATTTTATAGGAATAAGTAAATCTTATAATCAAATAGAATAGTTATAAAAAGCAATATAGAAGCGTCCTGAAGAATAGTAATATAAAATCTGATAAAACAGTGTTGTATTTCTCTTAAATTAGTAATATCTAATAGAATATTCTATATATATAAAGAGAAAATAGGTCAGTTAGATATAGAATAGTAGCAGTCTATTCATCTCAAGACTAATTCTTACTATTCTGAAGATTTAGCAAGATCCTAGAAGTTAAATACTAAGAAAGATCTGAGTTATTAATATTATAATTATTATACTAAAAATATATAAATATACTATTAATAATCTGCTATAATTATAAAAGTTATTTATAATAATTAGATTTTTTTTTATATACGGCTGTTTTCAGCAGTATAATAATAATATAGTATTACTGCTTTAATAGGTAAGCTATTCTATTTAAATATATACAGTAATAGTAGACAGAATTCAGCCGGGACTAGTTTTAATTAGATATAATTATTATAATTTAATATTATTTTATTTTAGAAATATTATTATTTTTTAATAATAATATTAATAATATAAATATATTTTTATATATCTGCCTCAACATTCTTAATACTATTATTATTATTTGTTTTATATTAAAAAGCTTGTATTTTTTTACTGTTTCTACTTTTATTTATTTATTTTATAGTATATATACAGTATTTATATTCTATATTTTTCTTAGTATTGCTAAGACACTAACAGATTACTGTAGTTTTATTAATAAATTAGAATATCTATATTATTAATTTTTCGTCTTCTGACTGATCAGCTCTTTTTTTTTATATTATATAATATTTAAAATATTTATATATTTTAATTAAAAATTTTAATAAAACTGCCGGTAAGAATTTTATATTCTACTATATTTTCGACGCTGCGTCGTCCGTAAAGTATTAATAATATATAGTAAAAAAACTAATTGTATTCTAATAAGTTTTTTTTTAAATCTATTTTATTTTCTGTTTTTTTATATTTTTTTAATATAGAAGTTAAATATAGTTTAAATAGTAATAGTAATATTGGATGACGCCGCCGACTTATTTATAATTTTAAAATAGGCTAATTATTTTTAGACTAAAAAATAAAAAAAAGTAGAATCTTTTATTATACTAAAAAGTCGTCCGTACTGCTGCTATTCTTACCAGTAAATTTACCGATATAAAAAAGATTTATTATATTAAATATTATATCTTAATAATTATAAAAAAAACTATAATTATAAGTTTTATTATTAGTATAATAGATATATATTAATAATTTAAATAGAAATATGCGGCGGAGTATTATAGGTTTGTAGTAGAATATTATAGTTTAACTATTTAAATTAAAAAAAATATTTAATATTTCTGTTTTTTATCCGGCGATATTAGCTATTTACTGTAGTCGGTGGCTGTATCTATATTTTTAAATAAAATAATTTAGAATATTATATATTTATATAGAAATAGACGGAAAGCGGAGGAGCTATTTATTAAGAAGTTAGTAGAAGGTTTTCCAATAAAGATAATTAAAGATCTGTAGGGTTGGTATTAACGTAATTGTCAACCGAGCGAGCCACGCAAGCGAGCGAGCCAGCAGATCCACCAAATACAGCACTAATATAGATTTTTGATTTATATACAAATATATAGTATTTTGAAGCCTTAATTATATTATTTTAAATATTTTTTTATACAGTTCTTCGATTTGGATATTTTATATATATATATTCTTAAATACTGTATTCGCTGCATCTGGAAGGTGCCCGGCGGCGAGACTAATTCTAATTTTTAATTTAAAAAACTTTATTTTTTTATATTTATATTAGAATATCTTTCTTATTTCATTAACAGTAAGACCGTTAAGGTCTGTAAGCTGCTTATTTTTTTATTATTTCTTAATATTTAATTTTTTATTTACCCAGCGGAATTTTCAAACTTTTTATTTTAATAAAACCGTCCGGTTTAATACTATCTCAGTATCTTTAAAAATATAATTTAAGGCTGATTTTATTAGTATATTAGCTATACTACTAAGCAGTTGTTTAAGTCTTATCTCTTACTTTTTAAACTAATTTATATTAACAGGCGTCTTTAAGATTATTAACTAAGAATCTTAGCTGCTTAGCCGGCTATTAAAATTTTTATAAATCAGCTTATTAAATATCTAGCTTAAATCGTACAGAACTAAGCCTGAAATTTTAAAGGCATTCTGTATATTAGCTTTTTTAAATACTATAATATAAGCTTTTGGATACTTCTTTAAAAAATTGTTTTTATTAATCTTTAAATATCGGGCACGTGCAAGGCGTTCTATCAAACTGTAATATATTTTTTTAAGAAATATAAAATAAAAGATATCTAACGGCTGGCAGAAATGTAATAAACTAGGAGGTATATAGATAGAAATAATATAATTAATATAATATAAATTATTAAATTTAGATATTAAATGCAATTTATAGCTATTAAAAATTAATAGGATGTATTTACTAATTTGTCGGTTAATTATTAATAAAATAAAGTAATATTTAAGCTAATATAAGCTGATTTTATTATTTATTCAGCTATTTGGAGATGTATTAATTCTTTAATTACCCGGAATTAAAACTTTATACCAGCTTACTATATAGTTTATTTTTTTAAAAATCAAGTACGGCTTTAATATCCAGCCGGCGGTGTTAATATACTCGATTAAAGTCATCTATTCGCAATTATTTAATTATATAAAAAAAGATCTTTTTAAATAGTTTAATTAAATAATAACTTTGACTGTTGCAATTTGGCCTATTATAAAGCCGATTTTATTAAAATTAAAAATATTTTCTTTAAAAATTCCGTACTTTAATATAACTTTTTGAACACAGTTAAATCAGATCTGTATAATCTGTAGATTCTTATACTTCGTCTGTTTAATATCTAATTAACAAAAATAACAATCTTTTAAAACTTTAGAATATATAATAAAGTTTGTAATCTATCTTTCTTCTATAATTATTAATCTTTTCTGATTTTTATATTTTTAAAATAATATATTAGCTATTTTATAAACTGCAGAGTTTCTTAAAAATACACTGCAGATATTAAATAAAAGAATCTACTTGTTAAATATTTCTTTCTCTCTTACAGTAAGTTTATAAAAATTAAAATAAGTTTTTTAATAAAATAAACGGCTATTTATATAGTATTAAAAAATTAAGCGAGAAATATTAAAAATATCAGCAGCTTTATAAATTAAAATAATTTAATTAGTTTTTATAGTTTTAGAAATAAAGTAGATTCGGCCCTCTTAATATAACAAGTCTTTTGATAATTTCGGCATTTTTGGTAGTATAATTAACCGCTGAATTACTTTAGTTTTTAGAGGTGGGAGGATTCAGGGGGTGGTGGCTCGCTCGCTTGCGTGGCTCGCTCGGTTGACGATTACATTATTTTACTATTGTTGACAAACCGTTTCGATATTCTTATACTATTGTAATGCTGTTTTTGCCCCGTCGAATATATGCAATCCGGGCTTTTCTTAATATTATTCTTTCTGTAGTTTATATATATAGATATAAATAAAATAAATATATAATATAATAATTCGTATTTCTTCTATTATAATTTATATATATATTGTATGTGTTTTATAGTTGTTTTATTATTATTTTTATTATATATTAAATTTAATCTATATTTTACAGAGTAGAAAGCTGCAATCCGATTATAGAATTTATAAATTTTTTATTAAATATTTACTAAGTTTTTTATTAGTAATTATTAGTTGTATTTAGAAGACTATTTCTATTATTTTATTAAATAAAATTAGTTTTTTTAGTAGTATAAGCTATTCAGTATCTATTCTATCTTCTATTCTTTATTATTATTTAGATCTGGTATTAGTAAAGTTTTAGAAATATTTTTTCTAACTTTTTAAAATTTCAGTAGAGTAATATAAAAGATGTTATACAGCCGAATATATTTATCAGAAAGATATAGATAAAATACTTATTTTTTTATAGCTTCTAAAATTTTAAAAAACTCTATAAATTTTAGAATTAATTTTCGAGGTGTTTCTTTAAACTTAATATTTATAGTAGATAGCTTAACTAAATCTTTTTATTTAAAAATATAAACTATTTTATTATTTTATTTAAAAGATAGAGTACCGCGACGGCTATTATAATAAATTAATTAATTTTTACTTATTTTCTATTAGTTTTTTTTAGTTTTTTTTATAAAATATTCAGCTTTTTTTAATCTTTTTAATATTAACAGTATTTCTATTTTTATAGGATTGTTCTCAATTCTAAGTCTAAATTCAGATAAGTAATTTATTAGGATTTTAAAGAGAATTATTTTTTAGAGGTATTTAAATAACTATTATATATAAATTCTGTTTTATTTAAAAGATTTATTTAGTAGTCTTAATATTCAGTTATAAAATATTATAAATAATATTTAAGAATTTAATTAGTTTTATTTATTTAACTGTCGGTTTGCAGATGAAACGCAGTCGATAATTATTTTTTAATTTTAGTTTAGTAATAAAAATCAGACTAAAATTAATTAATAAATAAAAAATCTCTATCTGTAATAATTTTATTAGAAGCTTTATATTTTAGCTTAATTTTCTAATAAAATAGTTTAGCTAATTCTTCTATTCGAATTATATATAATACTGATATAAAACGGTTTATTTTTATAAAACAGTTTATAATAATTAATATTAAATCTATTTAATAATTCTAATAGTATAACTTAGATAATTTTATAATAAAATCTATAGTAATTTCAGTTTATAGTCTTAATAGAATTAATAGATTTTTAAGCTTTCTATATAATTAATATTTAAATACAGTTTAATATTAGTAGATAAAATATATTATTATATAGTTTTTTATATTATTTTAAAAGCTAATCTAGTAAAATTTTTTCTAAAAAAGTTGCTTAGTTCTATTTTATTTAAAATAATTTATTAATAGATTATTATAGTATTATTATAGTAACTCTTAATACAGGCCTTTTATTTTTAATATATAAAATCTATTTTTAAAATATAATAATCTATCTGTTGTAATTCTTTAATATTTAGATAGCTTATTCTTTTTTTTCTAATATTTAGAATTTTAATTTTAATAAATTTTAATTAAATTCCTTAAATTATTATTATAATTAGATTTATAAATTTTTTCAGTTTTATTTATTTTTTTTATAGCCGCAACGCTGGCGGATTATTTATAATTTATTATATAAATTATAGTTCAGTTAGCTGATTCTGTACCGGTAGTATCTGTAGATCTGTTTAATATTATATAAATATTAGATTTAGATTTTTTTTATAAAAATATTTTATTATATTTAAACTGAGATTTTCTAATTTTAGATACTGCTGAGAATTTAAATACTGTTAAAATAGATACTAATTAATTATAGAACATCTGTATAATATTTTTATTATATAAATTTTTTATTAGTTTGAATAATCTAAATAGAATGTCAGTAGGATTGCTCTTATCTAATCTATATTTAATTATAAAATTAAAAGAAGCTAAAATTATATACTAATATACTTAATATTTATTAAGCTGAGATTAGTTTATAAATAATTAAAAATTTATATAGTTTAATAAAATCTTAATAAAATATTAAGCCCTATTGAGATATTAATATTAGTATTTAAAAAAATAAATAATAATAAAAAGTTTTTAATTTAGAGTACTTTAATTAAATTCTATATCTGAAAACTTTCTTAATCAGATAGTAATTATAGAATATTATTCTGTTGGTTTAGATTAGATTAAAATATCTGCTATTTTTTTTATTATAAATATTAGTTTTAATTTAAATAGATTAAATTAAATTAAAGAAATAAAGAAGAGGGGCAGTTTGAAAGATATTAATAAATTAATAAAATACTAATTTTTTATTTAGAAATAAATAATATATTTTAAGTTTTTTATTATTTTAACTTTTCTTCAGAAGATTTGTTAAGAATAGTATTAGTAAAAAAAATTATAAATAAATCTATAATAAAAATTACAAAATTCTAAAAAGATTTAAATATTATAGTAGATATTAGATAACAGCTATAAAATAATAGTTTTAATTCGATTAGAGTTTATTATAATATCTGTAGAGAAAATAATATATTTAAAAAATTTAATTTATTACTAAAAAAAAAATATTTAAATAATTTAATATATAAATTAGTTTGTTATAATTGTATTAATACTTTTTTTAATATATTCGGTATATTTATATCTTATTATTAAAAAAATAAGAATATTATCTAAATATATAATATAAATAATATTAAGAATATTATATAATACAGAATAAATATAGTTTTAGAAGAAAGCAGGTATATTAGTTAAGCCAAACGGTATGATTATATATTTAAAATAATTATAATATATATAAAATATAGTTTTTTATTTGTTTTTTTTTTAATACAGATGCAATAATAGGCGTTCTGAATATTAATTTTATTAAAATATTTATATTCGGCTAAGCGGTTAAGAATTTTAAAAATTAAAAGTAGTAGATATTAATTTTTTACTATAATTTTATTAAATTTATAATAGTCTATATATAACTGTAAACTTCTATTTTTTTTTAGATACGAAGAGAATAGGGACTTCTGCAGGACTTTTAAATAAACATATTCTTTTATTAATAGTATTTTTATTAATATAATTTTTAAATACTAAAAGTTTTCTTTCTAAAAGAGGGTAAATAGGCCCAAACAGAGATAATTTATCTTTAAAAAAATTAATAATATAATTTTTATTATAGTATTTAAAAAAAATTTTAGATTAATTAGAAGAAAAGATATCGGTAAATTCGATTAGTTTTAATAAAATAAGATTATTTTAATAATATTCTAATTTTTTATTATTATTTGAAAGCTATAGTTTTTCTAAGATTTTAATAATTATATATATACAGATATAATTTCGGTAAGTCTTAATAAATTTCTAAAAATTTGATTTTTAGATTTAATTAAATTTAAACTACTATTGTCTATTTTAGAAAGATAAATAAATTTTATAATCAAACAGAATAATTATAGAAAGTAAGATTAAAGTATTTTAAATAGTAGTAATATATAGTCTGATAAAATACTATTATACTTTTTTTAAATTAGTAATATTTAAAGAAATATCTTATATTCTATAACTGATAATAAAAATATAATTAAAAGTTTTAAGCTGTAGTAAAGATTTCTAAAATTTTAAAAAAATATTACTGTATAAGTTTAATACTAATTAGATTATATACTATACAACTATTAATGTCTGTATAGATTTTTTTAATATAAGATATTTATATTAATATTAATATTTTATCGGCTGTTTTTATTTTATAATATAAAACTAAAATAGAGGAGTTGGCCTCAGTCTATTTTATTTTTTATATTAATTTTTTTAATTTATAATTTTTAAATTTAAATAGTTTTTTTTTTAAAAAAATATCGGTTGGTAAGGTGCTCGATACTATTATATAAAAAATATTATAATAGTTTTTTAATTAGTTTAGAATAATCAGATT